TGTGTCCTTCCCTCCCATGCATTCCCACCCACCGAGCTGTCTTCCATGTGCAAACACTGCCCTCTGTTCTCTGACAATTGATCATTCTAAGGAGTGTATCCACCTGATGTAAACATTCACCCCATAGGCCTGTCTATTGTTTGGCTGGAATCCACAGGAGTGAGTTCAGCCCCAGCCATGAAGGATAACTAGGAGACTATGGCTCCTAGTCTCAGGGGTCTCACCAGGCTCTATCAGACCACCAAACCTGGTCTTTTATTTTTTATGACTTTGAGTTTTATTTTTCCATTCCATCCAGGATCTCCTGCACTGATCCCCCTTCAAGTGGCAGACAGTGGTAGCCAGGTACACCATCTAGTTCTTCTGGTCTCGTGATCATGTAGGCTGTGGGTTATATGGTGTTCTAGTCCCTTGGACTAATTGTTTCCATGCATCTTTGGTTTTCTTCATTTTTCTTTGCTTGGACGAAGAGAAACCCATCATTACATCTAGATGGCTGCTTAAGCAAGATTTTTGACTAAAGGCTTTTCTTAGTTTTTGTAACTAAGAGATCCAGGTTTTAAATTTGCTTACTTATATATACTTATGTATATACATAAAATGTAAATGTATCCTGAATTATATAGATATAGATATAAAGTATAATATTTATACCCTAGCTTACACTTAGGATCAGGTGATATATTTAGACTTTAATACATTTTCTAATTAGAAACTTACAATCTTTGTATATATGTTTCTTTTGCCCTGATCAAATGGTAAATAATTTTAATCAGGAATTTTTCTGTAGTCATGTGTTGATTTGGGTGAAGGGAAAGGCATTATTACAAAAGTGTGTGACCAGCACAATGACAATAGGAAAAAGGAAGACACAGAAATGTGCACAAAAGATACAGACAACAGAGACAAATATTACATGTGCAATACTGCATCACCAGTGGCAGCAAACACTGAGTAAATGCATAGACAAGTGAGAAGATCAGTTGTGGGTAGGTAACCAGGAATATACCTGTGACCATGGATAGATTTGGCTAAAGATATTCTTACATATCTTACATTCTTATATTTGTGCTACAAAAATACCCATATACATTATAGAATCAACAGGGGACAGCATTGGAATAGCTTCTCAGTGACAACCAAGCACTTTAAGGGAGAGAATCATGGGGCCTACAGGCTCAAGACCAAGGTCTTGGGGGACATCAAGCTCAATTGGCACAACATAGTTCATAAAACTTTTGTCCTACATCCTACTTTGGTGAGTAGTGACTGGTGTCTTAAAAGCTTTAGAGCTGCCATCTAAGGTGCAACTATTGGTCTCCTCTCATCTGGAGCAAAGAAGAGTGAGGAAAATCATACTCATATGGAAACAATTAGTCCAAGGATATGATGGATCATGGGGACCACAGCCTTCACTACTCTTAAGATCAGAAGAACTAGATGGTGCCCTGCTACCAATGCCAATGATTTGGAAAGGAATCAAAATTGGAAATCCTGGGTAAAGTGGGAGGAAAGATAAAAATGTGGAAAAAAATTCAAAAACACAAAAATGACCAGAATTACTGGTTGGACAGAAACTGGTAGAACCCCCCAAACTGTGGCCTTGATTTATCCTTCAGACTTGGAACTGGACTCACGTCCGTGGATTAGCTCTCAGCCAGGCAGTAGAAAGGCCTACAAGCAGAACACCTACCCCAAGATGATATACCCACCTACCCTAGGGAGATGCACACCTTAGATCAAAGCAGTAGAAAGGCCTACAAGCAGAACACCTACCCCAAGATGATATACCCACCTACCCTAGGGAGATGCACACCTTAGATCAATCAGCCATGAGACATCAGAAGGGCAGTATTTGCATAAAGGGAAAGTTGGACAGACAGGAATGCATAGTTAAGAAGGACACAGGGAAGTAGTCACAGGGAGGAGATGAAAAGAGCTTTTTTTGTTGGGGGTTGTAATCAGGGCCATGAAACCAAATCTCTATGAACTGTTGAAAGTAAAATAAATCTGCTTTGTAAATTTGCACCCAAACCACAATAAAATAATCTTTTAAAAAAAATTTTCTGTGACATCAGACAATTCCATTCAAGCTATTTGGTAATTGAAGGTTTTTTATATGTTTGTTTTCCTATCACAGGTTGAGGTACTGTACTTGTTTCCCTGAGCTAAAAAACAATTTGTTAAGTCCACAATCAACTCATTGTTAACAGTACCCCAATATTAATCCTTGTAGTAAATTTAGCAAATGGGAACAATGTATTTTATTCTCAGTCCTAAAAATCACTGAAGACTGAGAATATCATTGATGATTTTGAAAAATCATTGACTATTACTCTGTAGTCAGTAAGAGTTTCAGTTATTAAAACTCATCTCTAGTACTTTTCAGTTTTTCCTAGGGGATGGCCTCAGGCCTACGGCAGTCACCTGCCACACCCAAGTGTGGTGGTTCAAACCCACCAGCTGCTCCCCACCAGGTAGCTGGGCCATCTCTTTGGGAGTTCTGGTAGCATAGTGCCTAAGGCACTTGACTGCAAACCAGAGGGCTCGTGGTTCAAACCCACCAGCCACTCCTCGAAAGGAAGGTTGGGCAATCTACTTCCCTAGTGATACCTCCTGGAAGCCCAAGGAGGGGTCGCTATGAGTCAGGTCCAACTCGACAGCACATAACAGCAACAACATCTTGTGCAAGTCAGAATCCTGGGAAGCAACTTACTTGTTATCCAGGCAAGAAGATATACTATTGACCTAACACTAGCATTTCTTTTTTCTTATTTTACACTATGAAATACATATACCAAAGAATATAAGAAAATGTGTATGTACGGCTTAAAGTACAATAATAAATTGGCCATTTGTTTAACGAGCACCCAGGCCTTGAAATAGAATACTATAATACTGCAGATGCTCTAAGACAATATTTTTTTTATTATTATTATTAATGATGCCCAAGGATCCTTCTGTACCCTGTACTATCACCCTGAACATAGTCTGAGAGGAGCAGGACAGAAGGTCCCAACCTTTCTTTGTTTTTTGGTGGAGGAGGAGTAAAAGGCGTTGTCATAATCCTGGATCAGAGAAGAAAAAAAAAAAATGATGATAGAAGAGGATGGGGCAGGTTGCTACTAACAGAAAAATCTGACTCACAAGCCTTTAAGAGTAGCAAGTGGTCTTGTCCACAGCTGCCCATTTAAGCCCTCCCTATCTAGACAGTCCACATTTCATATACTTAAGACTGAGCTAGTATACAGCAGGCATCATGCAGATAATTGAAAAGCAATATATCTTTATCCCTGGAGGCCTAGAGAGGAAAATGGTGACCAACTACTCCATCCTGGTTATGTTTGTGACATCACCTCTGATGTGTAGGAGATCGGGCTAAAAATATTCTAAGTGAAACTAAGGTTATTTTAAAGTAACCCCTCTCCCTTTTTTCCCTCCACAATCTCCAATAGTAGTTTGCTTGATAATCCCTTCCTTCTTCTGTAAGGGGTTGGGGACAACCATAAGAATGCTCTAGTCATTGAGAAGGCTGGATGCTGCTATCTGGTTAACTCCAGATTTGCTGTATTCCCTTTTCATAAACCATAACAACAACTGCTGCTAAGGATGAACAGAAATGGGCCGATCAAAGAGAGCCAACCCATGCCACAACCGAGCAGACAGACCACTCCTAAGCCTGTACTTGAGGGAGGGATCTCAGGTTCTTGTGAGAACGTTTATTTCTCAATCCTGTGACATTATCTATGTCATTCTTCCAAATTTTCCCATATATACACTATGTATGCACAACTTTCTTGATAAGAACTTACAAAAAAATTCAAATTAAAAGTCAGTCTTTGGAAAAGCTATCAAATAGAAAACGTGTAAAATAGATTCATCTTTCAGTTATATTTGCTAAGAATATAGGGGAAAGAACAGCTATTTCTATTCCTCATGTTAAGCACTACCCAGTCTCCTTTTCTGAAAGAAGGAATGAAGGTAGATAGGTTGACAGACAGGAGGAAGGAAGGAAGGATGAAAGAAAGATGTAAGGAAAATGGGAAGAAAATAAATAGTCCATATAGCATGAGTGTGTGTGTGTGTGTGTGAATGAATGTGTGTGTGTTTGTGTGCATAGCCAAATTAAACCAGTGGCCGTCAACTCTTGACTCATGACGACCCCGTGTATGTTAGTGTAGAACTGTGCTCCATAGTGTTTTTAATGGCTGTGGCCTTTCAGAAGTAGATTGCCAGGTCTTTCTTCAGAGATGCCTCTGGGTGGATTCGAACTGTCAGCCTTTTGGTTAGTGGTGGAGTGCCTGTTTGTGCCACCCAGGGACTCTCCCTACACACACACATGCACGTACCGACACACACACACATTTCTCTCTCCACACCTGTTTCTACAGTTATTAAACATGAAAATGGAAGGATAAGGAGGAAGAGAATTAAACTGAGTTTAATTAATGAGTTACAGATTGAATAGTAAATAACAAGAATATTATAAAAATGTAAATTCCTAGGAATTAAGCATACCATCAACTCTGCTTTTTGTTTGATTTTGTTAGTTTTGTTCTGGTTTTGTAAATGTCAAGGCCCTGGGCAAATGTAAATTATTATAGTGCTAAGTTGGTGATTTTCAGAATTATCCATAACGCTAACCTGACAATGAGGATAAATCCATTCATAGAGTATGCTATGGTTTACTGAGTACTTTCTTTATATACGTGACCTTAACAAGTAAAATCATTACATAGTCTTACAGCTTTCTGTGACACAGTATATATTGTATTATGAGATGAGAAAACAAAGACTCAAATAGTTACTACCAAGTGTTAGAATGGAAACTCCCACCAAGATCTTTCTTCACAGTTTTTTCTTCCATTGCCAGTTACAAAGATGGGTAAACAGCCCTGCCTGGTGTTTTGTTGAAAAAACTTAGAGATCATGGTGTAGTTAGCCAGAGAGGATCTTTACTTGTGTCAGTACTAATGTATGTTGTCATATTATTCTTTCAGCATTTGTAGGTGAAAATGCTCAGCCAATCCTAGAAAACAACATTGGAAACCGAATGCTTCAGAGTATGGGCTGGACACCTGGGTCAGGCCTGGGACGAGATGGCAAAGGGATCTCTGAGCCAATTCAAGCCATGCAGCGGCCAAAAGGATTAGGACTTGGATTTCCTCTACCAAAAAGCACTGCCACGACTACTACCCCCAATTCAGGAACACCCACCTAGGAAGAAAAGAAGAGACATTTTATGATTTTTATTCGCTTATCCCATTGTTCTTAAATTACAACATGACTTCTGCTTTTGGAGCAGAAATCTATATGCGTCAGACTCATCACTCCAGCTTCGTAAGTGCATACAGTCCTGCCACAGTGATAGAAATGGGATTTCATCACAGTTCATGGTGCTAAAGTGAACACCTACATGCTGTAAAGTTTTTCAGCAATTTCCAGCTATTTCTAGGTATAGAGAACAGCCCTTTTATTTATTTAGATCTCAGATGTCAATAACTTACCTTTTGCTTGATTCATGTATGTGTGTGATGTCCAAGCAAATGTGAGCCCACCACGGATTACTAAAGTGAGGGAGGTAGGCCAGAAAGGAGCATGTTTCATATCATGCCTATAATCTAAGAGGCCTGTTATTGCATCAGTGAAGTTCCCTGCAAATCTGTGTTGCATAGGCTTGCTAGTTTCATATTCCCTCATTTTGAGTTTGTTGTGAAGATTGTCTGATGGGGTGATACACCAATTACTTTTCTGTCTTTGGATAGGGTGGTGTGAAGTCCACAACTGATAAATGGCAATTAATGTTTCCCTTAGACGTTTTTATTTTGATAAAATAAACCTCATCCTCATTATCACCAGAGTGCCCTCAACATCACTTTACTGCAGATTGTATAAATTTTACCTCATTTAGAACATAAAATAATTATGGAAAGAAAAAAATGTATTTTTTAAATTCACCATGACTGAACTGTAAGTTTGATGAATTCAGACTTACTCCTACCTCTCTCTTCCCAAAGGTTGATATTTTTTTAAGAACAATGTAAACTGATTTTAAATTTTAATCATTGGACTAAATTAGTAGAGTATTGAATCAATTTCTTGGAAGATTTAAGTGGTTCTCCCAAGAATTCAGAAATTTCTGTCAGTGGCCCAACCATTTATAAAGTGAACAAGAGAAGGGATGAATGGTACTGACTGCCCCTACTAAGATCTAAGCTCTTACTTTAAAAACAAGCAAAGCAAGTCATTTTTGTCATGTGTCTAGTATTATTTCAGAATCATAGGGTCAGAAATTCTAAATTTCTCTTAGTTTACAAGATGTTTGTTACCTTCATTATTAGGGACTGACAGTTACTTCCGGTTACAGTGGGCCTTTATTGGTTGAGTAAAGGTCAAGATAGCACATGTGAATCCCCTTTACAGTCGGTTTTAAAAATGTGTAAATCGTAAGAGTTTTAAAAGGGAGGGAGGGTTGTGCAGGTAGCAGACTTCTGGGCAGTCCTCTAAATAAAATATGTAAAATAAAGCAAGGCCTTGATTATTTGCCAAACATGCACATTTCTTTTAAGAATTGTCTTTTTCCCTAGGGGTAATGTGCTAAAAGGACAGAGTGGTTAGGGGACTTTAGACTTCTGGGTTGCTATTTTGAAACAATTTTATTGGACAAAGTAACTGTTCTATAATTACTTTCTACAAGTTTGTTATTTAGAAATTTGCCAGTATAAAAAAAAAAATGTGTTTTAAAAATGCTTGTGCTACCTATGTAGAGGTGGGAAAGGTAGAGGAGATTGTCTGTATACAGGTTTTAAATGTCTATGTGATAGTGTATAGTGTTCTAGGATCTAGTCAAAAGATGTTTTTTTAAAAAAAAATTGATTGCCTAAACAACTTCTAAAATCCTAGAATTTTGAAAATTCAAATTTTGAGCCACGACTAACAAACTAGGAGCTCTGGTGGTATATAGTGAGTAAGGAATTTGGCTGCTAACCACAAGGTCGACAGTTCAAACCCATCAGCTGCTCTGTGGGAAGAGGATGAAGCAATCTACTTTCATCAAGATTTACAGCCTTGGGAGAACCCAGTGGGGGTCCCTAGCAGTTGGAATTGACTCAGTGGCAGTGGGTTTAGTTTAATCTTGGCCTAATAATAAACTATGAGATAACTGTGAGGACTTTGGTCCCTAAATGCTAAGAATTTGGCTGTTTTTCACTCCACTGTGTTGTAACATGTGCACGAACCCTGGTAGTCGAGAAGAGCAGTGCATATAAAACTCTACCCAACTGGCATGGAAGAGCTTCTTAAAGATTGCATTCTTCATGAGTACTTCTCTTTGCCTTTCTGGACAGGTACAAATTTTCTGAAGCAACACCTCAAAGAGGCTCACTTAGTTTCCCTCTGGCCCCAAAAAACATTCATCTTCATATTTTCAGCTAACAGAATAAAATTCCCAATCTTAACACTGAGAGGCCTCCATGTGGCTCACAGAGGACTTTGAAATGTTTCTTGTTCAACTGAAGTTTTTCACTGTACAGAATATGTGAATCCACATTAAAAGTGGAGAAATGACACCATCCCAGGCTTCGCCCACACACTCACACAGACATGCACCAGAAGCACAAACATCCCTTCAACGTTCAATGCTCAAGGAGATTCACCACATGCCTAATGTTCTGGTTGTATCTGAAATTGGAGAAATAAAGACTCAGAATCAAAATAGGGCATTTTTAATGTAAATCAAATGTTATCTTTTAAGATACAAATTCTACTAATTTACTTATATTAGTATAGTTCATTTTTGCCAGTTACTATTCCCAGAGAATCCAAAGCATACAAAGGAATTCATAATTTAGTATGAATCATTCATACCTCCTTGAAAAAGTTGTGAGATACTTTCCTTAGTCCCTTATGAAGCCACTCTTGTACTCTACAGTGTCTGAAGCCTCAAATCAAATTAGTTGGCTATGTTGAAAAGCACCATAAGGAATTAGAGTGCTGAGTTTTCTTCCCTTCTTTCCCAATTACCCATCCCCCCTACCCCAACAATAGCCAGAAAGATCGAGGCATGACTGCGTTGGCAACTGGACTTTTTTTTGTCTTTGTGTACTTGTTATACTTGATACTGACCAGACTGCACTGGGGTTATTTCCTACAGTTTTAAGGTTCCATTCCCCTCAAATGCCTTTCCTTTTATTTTTAAATTATATGGCACTCATTAAATCCATTGCTAACTAAAATCTACTCATTAATTGATCTCGGCACTTGCAATTCATAGATTTTATATCTCAGTAAAGTTCAAGATATGCATAATGTGTACAAATAGATATGTTTACAGTGCACATATGTATGCAATATACAGTGTGCAATGTAGTTGCAAAATACTGCATTTTTTTAATATGTTTATCTTAACATTGTGAGTTGATACTGTATTAATGGAACTGATATTTGCTTTCTTCAGTACATTTTCATTTTGAGCAAATATTTCATAAAAGAAAAATCACTGTTGGCAAGCTTTTTAAAATCATTTCCTCCTGTGTTTGTAAAGGAGTTATCTAAATTGGCATTGTATAATGAAATTGTTTAGCAAAGTATATTTCGGATTCTTTTCCAGTTGCCCCCCTCCCCCCCTTCGGTAGAAAGCTGTATTCATAGCACAGTAATCAATGGATGAAAGAATAAAACAATGTTAAAGAATGTTACTTACATGTGGTCATTGTGTTTGTGCTTTAAATATTTCCCTCTTACCTTAAACTAATAAAAAATAAGGTTGGAGAGTATTAAAAAAAAAACTATCCATTGACAATTAACATTTAAGAGTTCATTTAAAGTCACTGTTATCTCCAATCCCCAGAAAATTTTAGTATTTTCAGAAACCAAAGTTAAAAAAATTTATATATACATTTGATTCACAAATTTATTCACAGCCAGTTGTGTGATTCATTTTCTTGTTTGTTTTCTCTGAAGGTCACGTAGACTAACTTGGAAAAGTCCCATCCCACTCAAAGATTCTGGTTCTGTAGTACAAAGGGACATGTCCTCTCTCTGACCACTTAAATTATCCAGGTCTTGTGTCACTAGTCACTGCACTTCCTTTTGGAAAGTTGTACCTCTCTCATACACCTGCTTAGTTTGTTTATTTATTTATTATTTTGTAATACTCATTAAAATGATGTGTTCTGTTTGCTTTAGGAGACCTTTCACTATGGTGATAAAATTTTGTCTATTGTCCCTAAAAAAATGAGTATAGTTGTTAAGAGTAAGTGAATTTTTTTTTTTAGTCCAACAGGTATTAAATACTCATTTTTTTAACAAGCTTGCAGTAATATATACTCAACTGACAACTGGACCATGAAGGCTCCTTCTGCTGGGTTCCTACTAAGCAAAGACTCATTACTTTAACACCTGACACTTTTAAGTAGATCCAGATTTGTCTCCAGCAAGTCAATGCCATTAACTGCCAGGAATATGATCTACTATTGCCACTTTTAGTTTTATCTGTACATTAGAGTTGTCTTTTGTCTTAGAATTGTCAGACAGTTTAAATCACTCTCAGATTCACAGACCTCACTCCTGTTTCACTGTCAGATGTCCTGTGTTTACTCTTGAAATTTTTCAAGGATGCAGTTAGGTAGCAGTTGTAGGCTATTTTTGTGCTCCTTAAAATTTGTTTTGTTGTTTCATTTTTGGTTTTAATTTTCAAAATAAATTGCTAGCATTTTCAGAGTAGTATGTAATACTTGATTTTTCATCTTGGTACTTGGTATTACAAGACAATGTTATGTCCAAGTTTAAAATAATAATAATAATAATACCCAAAACTACCCATTTTTATTCTTCCTATTAGATTTCTAAGAACTTTTCTTTCTGAAAGCAGTGGTTTTTTTTTTAAATAAAAGGAACAAAAATGAGAAATAGTATATTGCCACACTTAAATATGTAGTTAATACATGCTTTCCAAAGCAAACATGCTTCAATGAGATAAATTTCTTCAAATGTCATAGATGAGCATATAAGTTTAGGGAAAAAAAAAGTTTTTCTGTTAGATAACTACGGCTGATCAGAGATCCTAAAATTATTTTTTAAAAAAAAAGATTTTAGGAGGCGGGGCAAGATGGCGGACTAGGCAGAAGGATTGCACAGACCCTCTTCAACAAAGAAAAGGGAAACCAATTAACACAGACACAGAAGATAA